AGCCGCACATGTCTAGTTAGACATGGTGGTAAGGTCTTGCACTCTCAATGCAACTCCCAAACTGGACGACATCAGTTGGTTGCCCAAATTTCGACTTGCAGGGTCCGGAAAAATTGACTAAAATAAGCTATCTATAATGTTGATAAAATTGTATTAAAAATGTAAATTCCAAGTGTTCGTTCACATTGTTCGGCGAAATCTTGTGTTTCTTTCATGCATTGCTTGAAGAATTATGCGTAGTTTTTAGGCACATAGGTGTGAAGACCCTCGACCACGGTGCTGCAAAACACTGACCATGCACGCCTTAGAGTATTTTTTAAAAACTGAAGCATAAATAATTTTTATGATAAAATCAAAATATTAAAAAATAAGTAAAATCAACAAAGTTTGTGTTCAAATCGACAACTATCTATTAGTGAAGTCACCCCACTTGTGATTATTGTCACATACCCAACCAAACTCATGACAAGTGTTGAAAGTTCTGCGGAAAACCGACATACAAATCCTCGGCCAAATCCTCTATTGCCAAGGGTCTTTCTACGACATCAGAATCTAACACGATTCAACCAGCTCCCACCCAGAACATTTTGGAATCATTCGACTCTCTAAAAAGTCAGAGCAGTTAATTAAGCTACTTAGATCCAATCAATTTTCTGCTGGCACGCTGACCTTCTTTGTCCGTCAAGGTACTATTCCTATGACACATATTTTTCCTCTAATCCCGGATCATTGATTTGAGTGTCATAGACCATATGACTGGATGCTCGCAAGCTTTCTCGACATACTATCCATGTTCTGTAAAAGGGAAGATCATAGTTGTGGATGACTCCGATAATTTTATTGCTGGTAAAGGGTTTGTTGTTCTAATGACTGGCCTAACTGTGGAATCTGTGTTACATGTATCACTGTTGAAGTGTAACATTTTATCTGTCACTAGGTTAACACATAACATTGTCTTTTAGGATCTTCGTTTGAGGATGATGATTGGATTTGCTAAGCGGGTAGCTGTACTCTACTACTTCCAAGAGAAAAATATGGAGAACAATGACATATCACTCAGTAGTTGTAGCCTATCTCGAGTCACTGAATATCCCATTATGTTGCGCGTTGTCGTTTGGGTCACCTAATTTTCAATATTTAAAACATTTGTATCCATTGATGTTTTCTAATCAAAGTCTTTTTAGTTTCATGTGTGAAACATGTCAGTTATCCAAACATCTTCGGGTTCATTACCTTCCCCCACTTACACATCATCCGCTCATTTTTCACTCATTCTCAGTGACGTATGGGGACCCTTTAGCACTGTTAGCTACATTAATAAACGATGATTCCTTATTCTGATTGATAACCACACTCGAATGATGTGGGTATATATTTTAAAAAACAAATCGGAAGATGTTGTCACTTTCCAAAACTTATACACATTCATTTTGACCAAATTAAAAACTCCAATTTAGGTTCTTCGGACTGATAATGGTCATGAGTTATTTAAATCTATTTTAGGTAAATTCTTAGTAAGTAAGGACATTCTCCACCATAGGTCGTGTATAGACACTCAACAAAATGGAGTAAGCCGAGAGAAATATCTACATCTCCTTGACGTTGCTTGCTCCATTATGTTTCAATCTAATGTCCTGATACGTTTTTGAAATGTCGCCATACTGACTGCCGCCTATCTCCTAAAGAGTCCCTTCTAAAATTCACAACTTTTGAACCCCCTTAGCCATCTTGATGTCATGTTTTCCTGGCAACCAGGTTTTCTCCACTTTAGATCCCAAAATTTTTGGGTGTATAACCTTTTTTCAGAATAAACTTGATCCCAAATTCATAAAATGTATCTTCCTAGGGTACTCCACTACTAAAAAATGATATCAGTCCCTTGATCCTATCTCAAACAGATTCTATGTGAGTGTTGATGTCTCATTTTTTCAAAGTATTCCCTATTTTTCTAACTGTACTTCAAGTGAGGGGGAGCTAGAGTTCTTGGACTATTCCTTATTCTACTCCTATGGATGTTCCTATGGACTAAAACAATCCCCACAAATCTGGTTTGACAAGTTCACTAAGCTAGTAGTGGGTCATGGTTTTACTCAAGCTTAATCAGATCACTCTCTTTTCTTTGGACATTCATTCAATGGTCAAATTGTTATTCTTATTGTCTATGTTGATGATATTGTGCTCACAGGAAATGATCTACCAACATTGGAGTTTTTGAAAGACATTCTAGCTACGTCCTTTGAATTGAAGAACTTTGGGACCCCTTGATGCTTCTTAGGAATGGAAGTTGCTCGGTCTTCTTGAGGCATTTGCTTGTCTCAGCGCAGATATGTGATTGACATGTTAACAGAGAATAATCTGCTTTTGTGCAAAACGTGGTTGTTCCAGTGGATTCTAATGAAAAATTATCTGATGTTTCCAATGCAATTCCTATTAACAAGACTCACTACTAGCATCTTGTGGGAAAACTCATCTACCTTGCTCATACATGCCCCGACATATGTCATGCAGTTGATATAATAATTCAATTCATGCATGATCTCTATGAGCTCCATCTCCACGCTGTCCGTTGGATTCTCCAATATTTAAAAGACCACTATACTCAAATTTGTTTTTCTCACTCCACACCTCTTCTTTTATTGTTGTTTATACAGATGCTGATTGGGTCAGATCAATCCATGATCGACGATTTACTTCTTGGTACTGTTCATTTGTGTGGGAAAATCTTGTCACATGGAAAAACAAAAAGCCATCGGTGGTTGCCCGGAGCAGTGCTGAAGCTGAATTCCTATACATATCCTTGGAGATCTGTGAAGCTCTCTGGTTACGCATCATGATCCGCGAACTTCGTATGTTGACCTCCGGCCCCCTGCAGTTGTTCGGTGATAAAAAGACCGCCGTTAGTATTACCCACACCCCGGTCCAACATGATCGTATCAAACATGTAAAGATTGACAGACACTCCAAGGAAAAACTTTAGTCGAGGAAATTTATTTTTCTTTTGTGCTCTTCAGTGACCAACTAACATCCTCACAAAGATCCTTCTTCGGCCACTGTTCGATGACTTCAAATCCAAGTTGAACAAGATTGACATCCATCCTTCAACTTTAGGTATTAAAATAATAATGACCATCTCTAGTCATTATTAATTTGCGGGTTTTTCTTTTATTTGGTGTTATTGGCTTTTCTACATCTCTTTATTCTATTTTTATTTCTTTTCCATTCTCCTTTAGTCTGTTTTTTATCTCTTTCTTTACGAGTGTCTCTTGTCATAGAGTTTATGTATCCCTCTTTCTATCAATAATATATGCTACTCTACTCCAATATTTTAACATATACAAATTAACCTTTTCTTTGATTAAGTCAAATATCATTATTTATTTTATGTTTTTTTAATTAGTTATGTAGATACTCATGAAACATATTCAATACAGGTATCTTGGTTATGCTTTCTTATCACATAATGCTGATAGGTCAAACATCTTTTGACATGAGTTAAAAAGTTAAAATAATGCGGAAATTTTTAGAAGATGAGGGGCACAAAATTGGTTTATTAAAGATTAAAATGTTAGGTAACTTTAATGGATGTGAAATTGATGAATATAAATCAATATTACTAGAAAATCAAGTGATACACTAGTTTGTTATTTTAATCTCATGTAGCTATTATACTGAAGAATGGATTTATCAGTAAAGGACAAAATATGGAGGGTTATTGCTTGGCGGTTAAAATGAAAAATATCTTAAGAGTCACAATAGTGGAGAATATCATGAATGCTTTAAATTTATTTTATAAATTACGATAAGACTTGTTTTATTAATTTAATCTCAATGTCAACTATGACGGGTCATATGACAACCAAGTTGGTGCATCATACATGAAAATTTTAACATAGATTTGTGAGAAGCCTATGAAAAATAGAGTGAAAAATGATTATAACATGTGGGTGGTGGTAGTATAACGTAATACAGATGAAGTTAGTAAAATTATATTTGGGTGGTTTCATGTACAAACGGGGAAATACTATGCACTAATAAAACTAGCTTATATAGTTAGTATTAACATGTTTGGAAGGAAATTGCATAGACCCGAAGTAACACCGCCGCAAAAGACTTTTGAAAAATAGTTTTACCATCTCATGTAGCACTCAATTAGAAAAGAATGTACAACATCCACAACCAATCACCTAATTGCGATAAGGCTAATGATAATGATAACGAGTTTTTACTTTGATTCCTAACTAAAGATTCTAGGGGAAAAAATCTAGCTTTTGATAGCTTGAAAGAGAAAGCTTTTGAAGGCTTTGTTTAGAGTGATAATGATGACTTCTTCATATTCTTACCATAAATTTGTTGGGCCACTTGATGATTTGGAAGGCACACATTTAATGTCATATGTGCTAAGGAATACCATACTGAACGAGGCCTAAATAGCACAACAAAAACCTCACAACCTTTAAATTTCATTAGACAGTCTTTATAGCAAACATAGGCCAAAGAAGTATGTTAAAATCCTAATAATCAAACAAAAATCCTGTAAGATGAGAAGTGAGACCCTAAAACAAGCTTTAAGCACATTTAGTTCAGCTGAATCAGTTTGGTGAATAAATACACAGGAAAATCATATCTTGCTAATTATAGCTCTAACTTTATGTGAACTTTAGGTCAACCTTATTATTAAAGTTTGATATTATTACGAAATCAGCAGTGCAATTTACAATCACATTCATTTCAGTATAAAAATTACCTCACGATTATTTTGCAGAGTTGCTTAATTGTTTTCCCATGCATTGCATGGGGCATGCATACTTTTTGACGTTTTAATGACTGTGTTTTCCCTTGAGTTGGGCCTTCTACTTGGGACCATTTTGATAGCTCAACAGTTAAGCAATAGTATAATTTGGAGTGTACCTTTTTTGACATTTAATTCATCGCTATAAGCTTTTAAGCTTGGCTCTTATTGCCATACCGCTTGACCTTGTTGTAGCTTTCCTCTTTGCCAGATCAAATTGGGGGAACCGGGATATAAAGAAAGGTACTATACTGAGAAGTTTGGAGAAGAAGCTGTTAATTCAATTGAAGAATTGAAGAATGACCTCGTGAGTTTGAGTTCATTGCTGGATAATTGTACTTGGTCCTATGATATTCTTTCTAATTTCTACATGCGTACACTCTGTTCTTATTTATTTACATATCTAACACCTAAACTTATTTCTTACATTTATGCCACCCAAATCTTTTTTATAACATAAAAAATATCACTATTTTAACTTTAAAATTAGAAATACATCATTTCATGCATAGGTAAGGTGGCGTATGTTAAAAAATTAAAGTTGGGTGTTAGATGTGTCAATACATAAGAATTAAGTGGTATGTTTGTAAATCACTATTAATAAATTATATCTGTCACTGACCAGTAATATATTAAAATTTTTTGGTCTATTTGATATATTCTTTGTTAAAGAACTTTCGTCTCTAATATGAACCGCATAATCATGCTTTTGAAGATTAATGTTCAACAAATCTTATTTATTGGGAATTAACTAGTAAGTAATGTTCTATGTATTATTATGCTTTTAGTTGGTTAAAACGGTAGGGTTAATGTGGGTTTCTCATCCATACTTTATAAAATTGTTGCCCCTTCATGGACATGGATCTCAATGGCCTTTTCTTAATTAATGTGCACACAAGCTCCACATCTAAGCACACTTTAATACTATTCAGCGGTGCTTAGGTTGAATGATGGAAAAAAAAATACAAATGAAACGTTGATTCCAATATTTCTAACAGTCCCAATGATGATTAGATTAAATTGCAAAGTTAGACCAATGAAGAAATTAATTATAAACCTTGTTTTATAGAGCACTTGGAGCATAGTCTCTTCAAATTTGTTTGGTTTTTGAGATGACTAAATTGAACAATTTATTGATAGAACTTCATGTACTGTATGAAAGAAGGGGAAAATGGATAAAATAATAACTTCCATTAAAACTGAATTGCACGTAGATGATGCTTGAAAAGGATGAAAATTAATAGTTTGGCAGGGATAAGAAAAAATGGCAACGATGTATTATGGAGAAAGTTTTGTACAAATATTGAGGCATATTGAGGTGTAGTAATTTATGCAACATTGGATAAGAATAAACGTTAAAGGTGTTATAAAGTTGATTTCTTATATTTTGGGTAAGTGTATGATGAAGATTTTAATATTGAAAATTTACCTGAATAGGTGTCTTTGGGGTGCTTTCTTATGAGTGAATATTATGGAAAATAAAAGAAGAATTAGGTTATACTATTAAGACTTACAATGCAGTATACCCAATTGAGAAGGGTAAATAAGAACCTGAATCTAGGTTAGAAAATAATACTAGTTTATCTATACAGTAAAGTTATATAAAGGATGGTTTTAAATAATTATAGGGGTTATTTGATTGCAAGTTTATTTTAAAAGCAATGTTATGTAAACACAATTTATTTGAAATGCTGAAGGTTGTTTTGTTGGTTTTAATTTATATTCTAGAGATCTTTTTTTATTTAGTTGAAACTAAAATGAATCTTGAAATTTTATTAATATATATTTTAAATATCTGCTTTGTATTAATATATAATTTTAATATATTTTTCAGATTTTCTGGAGAAAAAATGAATCTTTTAGGGTTATCGGTCGTGAGCGTAGGGTTGTCGAAGGTTTTTTGAATCGTGAGAATGCTAGAGATCATGAGTGGGGGAACCAAAGGCATTTGTGAGTGCTTGGATGATGGACTTTGTGAGCGTCAAGATGAGCTCAATGTGTTGAGCAAATGTTGGGATTGGAATTCGCTCAATTTTGATGAATTCTAAAAAAATGAACCATTGGAGGTATTCAAAACCCCCCACAAGAGAAATATTTAGGAATCTTATTACACTGAACGTACTTATAAATTTAAGATCTCTCCATTTCAAACTCTGCACGCTCATAATATACTCAATCAAACAACCCCATAATTATAAATTGTTGGAGATTTGTGCAGGAGTTATAATCAAGAGGTAATACAATGGAGTAAAATGACTTTTTTGTGTTCCCTTACTGGTGCGGGCAGGTTGGGTAAGGTGGAAAAACTAAATCAGTGCACAAGGGCTAATGAAAAGGAGTTGTCAAAACTATTATGGATTGAAATTACTTGTAGGATTCCGGTATGGTAAAATAAAGAGGGAAGATTTACGTACGTACCACTTAATTCCTATATATTTGCATGTCTAACGCCAAAATTTCAATTTTTACATATATCTACCCTACCTATGCCTGAAAAGTTGTCTTTCAATTTTTAAAATTTAAAATAGTGGCACTTTTATGTGATATGAAATATTGGCTGGTATAAATATAAAAAGTAAAGTTTTGGTGTTAGGTCTATAAATACATAAGAATTGGGTGGTATGTAAATGTCCCAATAAAGAAAACAAAAAGGAGGAACCATGAATCCAGATAAATGGATAGGAACTAAATGAAGTTCAAAGTTCAAATAGCGTTACCTTTTGATGTTTGATGCAGTATTCTATTGCAAAACCAGCTAAGAGTAGAGATTGGGCTCCGACAAGCCTAAACTTGGTGCTGATTATGACAATAGTGCAAATTTGTAGTCTTAAACTGGTATATTGCACTCCACTCTTTTAACGGTTGACTGACATGAGTATTATAATGAGTTTCTGGCTATAATCAGTAATGAAGTGATGCCTCAGATAGTAATTAGGAATTTTTTGAGGCATTTGCATACATACGACCCAATTCCTATGTATTTACATTTCTAACATCTAAACTTTGCCTTTTACATTTACATCACCCAAATCATTCATATTACATCAAAATTATCACCATTTTTTTACTTTTAAAAAGTGAAATACACCTTTTCATGCATAGGTAAGGCGGTATATATTTAAAAATTCAAGTTTATGTGTTAGATATGTAAATACATAAGAATTGAGTGGTATGTAAGTTTTCCAGTTTTCTTAGCTCTGCCTTGTTGTGGAGCATGACTTTCACCTTTTGTGCTTTAATGTGTCAGCGTTTATGATAAATTCCATCTAATAGATAATATGTGTTTGGACATTAATGTGAAAATCACTTTTGCTGGATAATGCACCGGATTGGCAACATTACAAAGTTTTTTTGTAGCTGAAATGGCCATTTTTCAACCTATTATGCGGACAAATTGGCTTAATTCTATCACATTTTGATGTGAGGCTGCTTGGGGAGGCTGGCCAAACCAGCCTGGCCGGGGCCGGTCCCGCCTTCTGCTGATGCTGAACCAAACCCCCCTGCAGGCTGCTTGAGGCCGGCCAAACCGGCCTAGTTGGGGTCGGTCTAGCCTTCTATTAGAAGTCATTGCCTCCACTCCACCCCCTCCAATGCCCCCTTCTCTTCCTTTTCCCTCCAATTCTTTCTTTCCTTTCCCAATTAATCTTCTATTAGAAGTGATTGCCTCTTTCTATTTCTTTTCTTTCTAATTTCTTTCTTATTTTACATGCTTTGCCTATTTCTTGTTCTTCCCTTTTTTTTTTTTTCTTTCTTGTTTTACAAGCATTGTCAATTTCTAGTTCTTTCCTTTTTAATTTCTTTGTTATTTTACAGCATTGCCAAATATAAGTCCTAATCTCTATCATATATATGGGGTGTTTTGCTTAGGGAATTGAGTTTTTGGTGATTATTCTGAGTTCAGATTTATGTGTAGAATTTTTTCTTAGTTTTAGGGCTGTATCCGAGGAGGTAGTGGTGCTCCGGCTGTATCATGCTTCGAGGTGTTGTTATATCTTCTTCCCTTTTCCTGTCCCTCCGCCCTCCTTCTAAGCCGCTAGCCTCCCAGCATTTGCCCAACCACCCCTGTCGCCGTCCATACAACATCCCAACCTGTTGTCCGACCATTTTTACCGGTATCCGGTCATCCACGCTTGTTGTCCGGACTTTCTGCTTACTGCCCCTTCTTCCCACCCGCTGTCCACCCTTCCCACCCACTGTACTGCCTCGCCAAACTTGCTATCCAGCTCCCAGGACTTGCCCTCCAGCCTGGCTACCACTCCAGCAGGCCACCACCTCGTTGTTGTCCAGCAGGACTCCCTTTTTTGTTGTTGTCCTGCGCGTCGACCACCTTTCAACACCCCTCTCAGGCTCGTCCCAACTACCATCTAGTCCTACTGCAACTTCCTTTCTATCCTCGGGATCTGCTCCCCTCTAGTGGGGGTCATTTTTGTCGTTTATGTTGTTGTCCTTTCTCTTATTTTGTAGTCGTCATTGTTGCTTGTATTGTTTATGTTGAAGAGTCGCCTTATACTTTCTTTGAAGTTCAGTTATAATATTTGTTGTTTGGTCATGGTTTGGGTTAACTGCGGTATCATTTGGTATCAGAGCCAGCCTAATTTTAGTCCTATCCTAGCATCCGCCATAAACCAAAAATTTTCTTTTCTACCACCAAATATTCTTTCCACAACCCAATACCTAACCTCACCAAAGTTTTTCTTTCCTATTCCTTAATCCCTAGTCATGTCACCAAAGAGAAATATGTCTGAGCCTATCCGAGAAGAGATACGATGAGAGCTACATCGTCTTCTTCAGAGGCTTGCAGAGATTAAAGAGTTAACATAGGAGGAGGTTAACTTCGACAAGGATCTAGATAGGGAGAAAGAAATGACAATTTGAATCCCTTCCATGGGTAGATTTTCAACGATGAAGAAGACATGCCATGACGTTTCAAATTACAATATCATAGAAGACATAGAGAGGGATATCTGAATCCCTCCCAGAGGGAGAATCTCCGAGATGAGGTGTCATTTTGAGAACACAGAGACTTCGACATCAAAGTGAATCTGTCAGAGTTTGAGGGAGGTATGTATCAAGAGACTATTGATTGGTTGCAATCTGTTGAACGAATCTTCGAGTATAAAGATGTGTCAGAGGATAAGAGGGTCAAACTAGCTGCCATCAAATGGAGAAAAAATACCTCTTTGTCGTTGGAAAACTTATAGAGACAGAGGAAAAGGGAAGCATCGATAAGATTACAAAGTGAAAAAAGATGAAGAAAGTGATGCAGAGGAAATACCTCACACTCTATTACTGTGAGGATATGTTTCTAAGACTCCACCACCTGCAGCAGAGGGATCTGTCAGTAGAGAAGTTCATGGAGCAGTTTGATCAGCTGCAGATGAGGTGTGATCTGGTTGATCCAGAGGAGCATACCATAACCTATTAATTGAGTTTCTGGAGCCAGCCATTAGCAATATAGTATAGCTGCAGCCTTGTTCGTCACTTGGAGATGTTCAAACACTAGCACTGAAGGAGGAGAGGCAACAGAAGCAGAGCAGGCAACAACCATCCTTCAGGCAACATCCGTCAGGCAGACAGTCTGCTACAGTTACTACGACCGAGAAGGATATCCCGGGAGACACTAGTAAGCTCGGATAAGGAAATAATACTCCAGATCAAAGCTGGAAGAAACAGGAGAAGTAGCTCCTCCAACACTATATCGATCAGGAAGTGTTACAGATGTCACGGTTACGGTCACATAGCCTCCAGTTGTCCCACGAGCAGTTTAGTCGCACTCACAGATCAGGGTGCTGCGAAGAAGACTAGCGATGAGGAGAAAACTGAGGAACAATGTGACATATATCAGCTTTCCCTAGATGAAGGAGAGACGCTCATGATTCGATGAATCCTGTAGACAGAGGACATGACAGGTTCGTAGTGGCTTCGCCACAACATATTTTACACCCGCTGCACAGTAAACGGAAAGGTTTGTAGCCTTATCATCGACGTCAGAGCAGCAAGAACGTGACATCGACATAAATAGTAGATAAAATGTGACTCGTGACTCAGAGGCATTCCCAACCAATTTCACTAACGTGGCTGAAAAAGGAGATCAGGTTAGCATTGATCGGACATGCTTAGTAGAGTTTTCAATTGGGGGCCAGCTATAGGACCAGTTGTGGTGATGTGATCCTTATGGATGTCCATTACCTTCTGTTGAGACGCCTGTGGGGAGTTTGACCGGAGGATCAACAAGATGGATTCATAAACATATTCCTTCATCAAGGAGGGGAAGCACATCATTCTACTTCCCTCGCCAGAGCCGGTGATTAAAGGAGCCTTTCCTAGTAGAGTGGCATTAGTGGAACTTTTTTAGTGCTGACACCGAACGAGACGACTGAGACACCCGCTCCGGATACAGTACCAATACAACCAACGGTTTTTCAAGGTCTCACGGATGGCATAGCACCACCGCCTTGGGGCAAGGTTTAGATCCTCTCATTGCACACCCGCTTGAACCAACCATGGGTTATTTTGGGAAGATTCAAAAGGGCAAGACACGTAGTCCTAGGAAATTGGATCTAGATGGATGTACGCTCACAAGTGCAGCCAACAGTGGAATTCAGGTGCAACAGTGGAATTCAGAAGCTTCAACAAATGAGTTTGAAGCTCCTCCAACCTCGGGAGACTTACGCGGGGCTGCTTGTGGAGTTCGGCCAAACCGGTCTTATTGCGGTCAGTTGAGCCTTCTGCTAGACCAGCGGCCCTCCTGGGGAAGCTGGAATTTCCATATCTTTTTTTTCATTTCCCATTAATCTTCTATTATAAGTCATTGCTTAATTCTCTTTCATCCCTTCTTATTTCTTTAATATTATAAAAGCATTGCCTATATCTAGTTCTTCCCATTTTTATTTTTTTTCTTATTTTATAAGCATTGCCTATTTCTAGTCTTCCCTTTTTAATTTCTTTTTTATTTAACAACACTATCAATAAGTTCTAATCCCTACTATATATAGGGGGGGTGTTTTGCTTAGGGAATTAGTTTTTGGTGATTATTTTGAGTTTAGGGTTTAGGGTTTAGGTCTGTCTGGAGCGTTTCTCCTATTCTAGGGTTGTATCTGAGGAGGTTGCAGTACTCCGGCTGTATCCAGCCATCCCTCCCCCTGCTCAGCTGCCAGCTTTCCAGCACTGCCCACCTGCCCCTGCCGCCACCCATACAACATCCCAGCCTACTGTTGGATCATTTTCACCGCTGTTTTGTCATCCCCAATTGCTGTCCCGCCTTCCCACCTGCTGTCCCGTCTCCCCAAACCTGCTATCCAGCCCCACGGACCTTCCCTCCACCTGCCTACCACTCTAGCAGGTCACCTCCTTGCTGTGTCGAGCAAGACTCCCCTTTCCGCTACTTCCTGCATGTCGACTATCTTCCACCACCCCTCCCGGGCTCGTCCCAGCTATTGGCCAGTCCTATAGTAGCTTCCTTTTTACCCTCCTGATCTGCTGCCCTCCTCTAGAGGAGGAGGGGTTTATGTCTTTTATGCTGTTGTATTTTCTCTAATTTTGCAGTCATCATTATTGCTTGCTCTTGTGTTGTTTCTATTGAAGAGTTGTCTTCTACTTTCTTTGAATTTTAACAATGGTATTTATCGTTTGGTCGTGGCTTGGGTTAACTCCAGTATGATATATGCTTCTCAGGTTCAAAAATATGTTGAAGGACTCTGTTGGATCATGAGATATTATTATGAAGGTGTCTGCTCCTGGCAGTGGTTAGTGTTGATGTCTGAACGCTCAATTAATGTTGTCGTTCCTTTTTTAAGTAAATCTTTCTAAACTAAGATGTGCATATCTGATAAATTTTCCCAATTAAATTGGTACTTCTTGACAGTTAACTTTTATATCCAAAACAAATTTTGTAACTTCCTAAATATGGAATTCAAGTTTTAAACAATTCTGAAAATTTCAGGTTTTACCCATACCATTATGCTCCCTTTGCTTCTGATCTGAAGGGCCTTACTGATTTGGAGATCACGTTTTTCCGAGGTCAACCATTTAAACCATTTGATCAATTAATGGGAACACTACCAGCTTCCAGGTTGGTTGTAAACCAAGTTTGCGGTGTACTTTTGCATATATTAATGAAAATTTGATGTTAATTTATCTGATACGCATTTTATTTATATTTTTGTATTTTTTTGTTCCAGCTCTGAAGCTCTGCCTAAACACTATGGTGTTCTAATGACTGATCCAACTTCATCTTTAAGCTCTTTCTATCCTGAAGGTAAAACGAAACAGGCATTTGTCTAAAGCATATTTGGACTTTTTTTTTTGTTTGTTTTTATTTATAAAAGCATATTTGTTTAGTGTACTTATTTTACATTTTTTTTTATTTTAGTTTTTTAAGCAAATCAACTTGATACGGGAGCAAAAATAGTAATATTATTGTTGAATTTCAAAGATTGCAACAAGACTCGTCAAAACAGGAAATAAACGACAACAAAACAACAACACAAACATAATGACACAACACAGACTCCAATAAGGGTTGCAGAATGATAAAATGTCTCTTCGGGGTCGAGCTATAGCCAGAGCACCACCCGAACTCTTGGAGACGGTCACCACCTAAAACGAGTTACAGCCAGAGCATCTTCTAGCCGTCAGATATAGCCCACAGAGGGGAAGAATGCTTCAAAGACAGTACTCAGAAATCTGCACTCATCAAAATCTCCTTTCCTAAAAAAAAATAACCTCTATATATAAGAGGGATTAGGACTTATATTAGACAATGCTTTCAATTAAGAAATAAAATAAAAATGAAGCAATATAATAGACAAAGATTTATAATAGGGGATTTCATGAAAAAGTAAAGAAATAGAAAAGACAAGCATAAAATAGATAGGAAATAAAATAGGAGAATCATAAAAAGGAAAGGAAGAGAGAGGGAAACAAAAAATAAAAGGGGAGCAACTACAGTGATGCAGCCCGGAAAAAGGCTCCCACGTCAATCTTCCAGGGTTGGGGAAGCTTCGACCTCATTCGTCAAAACTTTTAAGGTAGAAAAATTTTGGAGGTGGTTTGGGTAGGGCAGAATCTAGGGAACCCTTGGATATGAGTAGGGTTGGGCTGACTCGGATACTAAATGACACCAAATGAAGCAAAAACCACAACATAAATATTATTATTATTTTTGAATTTCAAAGATTACAACAGGACTTGTCAAAATAAAAAATAAACGATAACAAAACAACAACACAAACATAAAGACATAACACATACTCTAATAAGGGTTGCAAAAAGATAAAATGTCTCTTTGGGATTGAGCTACAGCCGAGACGGTCATCACCTCAGACGAGTTACATTCGGAGCAGCACCTTGCTGTCGAATATAGCCCTAGAGGAAAAGAATGCTTCAAAGGTATCACTTAGAAATCTGCACTCATCCAAATCTTCTTTTCTAAGCAAAAAAAAACCCCTATATATATGAGGGATTAAGACTTGTATTAGGCAATGCTTTCAATTAGCAAATAAAATAAAAATGAAGTAATATAATAGGCAAGGATTTATAAAGGCAAGGATTTATAATAGGATTTATAATAGGGGATTTCATGGAAAATGAAAGAAATAGAAAAGGAAGACATAAAATAGGAGAATCATAGAAAAGGAAAGGAAGAGAGAGGAAAATGAAAAAGAAAGGGGAGGAAATTTGGGCCACGGTACTGTAGCATCTACAGTATCTCATACATTGTGCTGTAGCTGGTACCACGCCGCGACCCGGAAAAAGCTCCCATTAAGTGATTTTATAAACAAAGACTACTAACGCTAGTTGTCGTCAACTATTGTTGTCCGGTCAAATTTAATATTTAATAAACATAAAAAATGAAAAAAATATATTTAACATGCTAAACATATTTTATTTCAAATCAAAATATAAATAACACTATATATGTGTGTGTATAGATATATATATATATATATATATACATGCATACATATACATATATATTTAAAAGAAAGGAATGATCCCAAACAGCCACCTGGTGCTCTATTTCATCCGCATACTCTACTGATTATTGATCCGTATTCTAAACTAAAGCTCTTTTTATTTCTGCGCTCAGATTTTGAGATTGATATGAATGGTAAAAAGTTCGCGTGGCAGGTATTTTATATTTGTCAGACTGGATTGCACAATGTTATTTGGAATTTTATTATATAAAGCTGTGCTTTACATTTGGCATTTCGATTTTATGTTAGGGGGTTGCAAAATTGCCTTTTATTGATGAAAGACGCTTGTTAGCTGAGACGAGGAAGCTCGAAGAGTCATTGACGGTGGGAACATCTGTTAGTTGAATTTTATTTTGGAAGATTTACATAAATACCACCCAACTCCTATGTACTTTGCATATCTAACACCTAAAACCTTGACAATGCATAAAAAGGTGTACTTCATTTTTTAAAAGTTAAAATTGTGGCATTTTTTATGGGATATGAAAGATGTAAAATTGTAAAAAAGTAAAGTTTTGGTATTAGATATATAAATACATTAGAATTGGGTTGTATGTAAGTAAATGCCCCTTGTTTTGTAATTGGATACCTGCATATTTGTTTGAACATGTTTGTCTTTATTAGTGAAGTATACCTCATTTATGTTTTTTGTCAGGAGGAGGAAAGATTTAGAAATAATATAATGTTTGACATAATTTATGTCAATAGTAATCATCCTTTGGCCGTGCAATTTGCTTCACTATATCAAATGAGATCTCAATTTGGATTGCATGCATCATATCAAATTATAATAGATGCAGCTCTGAGGTCTGTAAGCTTATACTTAGGTCACTGCTTGAATGATTTTTTTTATTTCGATTACTTATAATTTTTTCTTAAAATATTGTAGTGGTGGAATGAATGGCTTTCTTTGTTTGACCGAGAGAAACATTTGCACCTCATCAGTTCACTTTATCAATAATAATTTGGTTTTGTAAGTTTGCGATCAATTTATTACCACTACTCCTGCAACTTTTTTCATTATTTTGTGGATCTTCATTTACTTTCCTTTCATGCAGAATTGCTCTTGCAGGAATGCTACTTATTTTAATCCTTTGCCCCATCCTCACATCCCTGAACCTCCGAAGTATGTCTTTTTTCCTGCAAAGGTAAATCTGTCTTTTTTCCTGCAAGGTACCAGTTAACTCATTTTTATTTTCAAATTTGATTTTGATGCCGACCTCATCCCTCTGCTATGAACATATCAGTTTTTCCAGGTTGTTTTTTGGGAAATTTACATACCTAGCACACAATTCTTATGCATTTGCTTATATCACACCTAAAATTTTCACTTTTAAAAAGTAATAATAATATTATTTTTGATGCAATATTAAAAATTCTGAGTGCTAATATGAAAGTCTAATTGTGAGATATGTGAATTATTATTATTTTGTGATCTTAAAGATTTTGAGTACTAATATAAAAATTTTGGTATGAGATATGTAAATACGTGAGAAATGTATACTGTATATTTAATTGCACCTTTATTTTATTTCAACTTAAGATTGCGCACTGTCAACTTTTTGGTGGTCAAGAGCTCTATAGATGCAAATTTTGGATCTAAGCGGGCCGCTTTCTGCGATTAAAAAGTAATCTAATTAGTTTGTATTGCAGATTTTAAAACCGTATGACATCAAGCCATTCCCTATACTTTGGCATGAAGACAATGGTTCCTCGCGGCAGAAAGCAAGAGAGAGGTATTTTTCTGTTTTATTCCTTTCTAGCTGCTAATGTCTATTTTTTTTCACTTTAATCGAAGAAAATTCGGTCATTAGTGTAAGAATGTTTTAAATCAAAATTTGATCGTGTTGTGTATAGGAATTGAGTTGGTCATTGTTAAGCCGTTGCCTTAGACTAAAGGCAATTTTGCCTTTTGTGTGCCTAAGGATAATGTAATTTTTCATTATCTATTATTCTTTTAGTATAAATAGACTCTAATAGGCTTGGATTTAGGTATGCATAAGATTCTTTGTTGTGACTCTTAAGTTTAGGGTTTGGGAGAGACTTCCTTTCTCTCGACTTGTTGGAATTGGGAGAGATCGCCAACCTCTCGAATAGTAGGTGCTTATCCTTGTGTTTGTGTTGTTCTAGATTGTTAAAGAAAAATATTTGCTCGCCTTAATTTATGTGATAAATCGTGTCGATTTCTACGTCAAATTGTATCAAATTGGTATCAGAGCATTTTGATTTCTGTAGAATGACGAGATTGACGTGCACTCGGTAAGATGATTCTTATGCAGTCGCCGTAATCTCTCGCTATGACCATCAACCGTGCAAAGCAGACGTGATTCCAACCAGCAGGGAAGCCGACAAACTTGGGCGCGCTTTTGGACTGAACCATGTTATAGAGCTCACTTGTAAGCGAAGAATGGATCACTACATGTCTCTTTAAAGAGTGACTCGAGCTAGGAAGACAGTCGTACATAAGTGCCCTGCCCTCAATTTCGAAGACCACAACATACAAAGACGTAAAACTCCTAAATTTATTCTACTTCCACTCCATAACTCCCATCTTTCTCTTTTTTTTGCATTGCCCTCACAAGTAGTTGAGATTAAAGCTATTTGAGAAGATGGGACTGCAGCTACATGATCAGCCATCGTGTGATCGAATCTCGCTAGACATTTATGATTGGAGCTATTTGAGAAGCGACGACCTAGATTGAAGTGATCTAGGATCACTGACTTATGGAACGGTCACTTCATTTTACTTGTCTAGAAGCAAACTACAAGATTTTAGTTATAAAAATTTTGCCTTGGGGGATCGAAAATCTTCTTCGGAGTAATGATGGCTAGGAAAAATGATTTGGAGGAAAATTTAGCAGAAGAGATTAGTCAAATCAGATATGGTATGGATTAAACTTCTCCACCATAGAAGGAATGTTTTCCTCCATGGAAAACTGATTTGAGTGCCGATTCATGAGCTTGGAGGAGATGCTGAGGAAACTTATTGAGATGCAATTCAAGATTTTGTTGGTGATTCAATTTGAAAACTCTAACCAATGTGTGACCAGAGAAGCCTTGGCTAAATTGAATGAGAAAGTGATTGAACAAGAGAAACACAAGGAGGAAAGCATCCCAGTTAAAGAACCTCCTCCCAAGGCTCTGAATGGGGGTCTAATTGAGGGTGGGTTAGAGATTGATGGAGGCGGTTGAGCTGAAACACTGAGAAGAGGTTGTGCAAGGGGTATGGAGGAGCGCGAAGAAGAAAGGATAGGAGCAAGGATGTGATATGAATATGATCACAAGGGGAAGTTTTACCCTCGATACATGGGGGAAAGAACAAAGGAAGAGGAAGTTGGCATGGACTTGCTAGGATTAGGAAATTGAATATGCCAATCTTCAAGGGTGAAGATGCATATGGGTTGGTGTATCGGGTGGAGTGATATTTCACGGTGAATAGGCTAAATGGGGAGGAGAAACTCATGGCGTCAGGTTTAAGTTTAGAGGGGTAATTCCTAGTCTGGTTTCAATGAAGGGAGGCTAAATACCTAGTCTATTTGTGTGAGGAATTTAAGGATTGTTTGTTGGAACTTTTATGAGTAATTTGGGAAGGAGTCCTACACGAGCAATTCTATGTCTTGGCCCGGGAGGGGACTGTCATGGAATATAGGGAGAGATTCGAACTATTGTAGGGATGCTGAGGGAGATTTCTTAAGCATAATTGGATGGAAACTTCATGAAGGGCCTAATTCCCAACTTACTGGTGAAATTCAAATTTTTGAGACAGTAGGGAATGAGGTAGATGATAGAGCTTTCATATGTTCCTCGATGACCATGATACCGAGGATCTAGTTGGTGTCACGTCAGAAGGAGATGCTGGAGGAGAGGAATAAGGGGCCTGTCCCGAGGGAAATTTTAAGCGCCTCACAAAGGAAGAGGTGTTGGATAAGAGAGCGAATTGATTATGTTTTCGATGTGATGAGAAATATGCCCTAGCCATCAGTGCAAGGATCACACGCTCCAAGTTTTTTTAGTTTGTGGGGGAGGAGGCATATAGTGAGGAGGCAAAGGAAGATGTTGTGAGGGGGAGGAGGAAGACCTTCATCTTTTCTAACCTTGAGGACTGTGTGTTTTTTTTAGAGTATTATTACGCCAGCCAAGCCTAAGGGCAATGTTCTCTTTCATTAGTCTAGGAGCAAATTGGTCTTTTATTATTATTAGAGTTTGGTATAAATAGCCCCTAATAGGATTAGGGTTGGGTATGCACGAGATTTTTAAATCGTAGGAGTGATGGCGGTAAATAGGGAAAATTAGAGAAAGAGAAGAAGCACCTCATATCAGAAATATAGGAATGTTTTTTCGATAATGGAGTGTTTCCCGTACATGGAGAGGCAATTCGACTTGAATTTGCAATCTTGGAAGAAATGATTAAAGATCATGGTGGTTCATACAAACTGCCTCCGCACGCCACGCGATTGAGCGGCGACGTTGGGAACAGATGTGAGCAGCAACAACCAAAAACATTCGCGCGACATCAGGTCGGCGTCATTACTTTAGGCAAATCAGGAGATGTCATATCGAGCGAAGAATCAGGAGCGGACTTGAGCGACGACACTTGGATGAGATAGCACCACATTCAAATGTCTCGAACAAAGAGAATCAATTAAGATTGAAGTTGGCAGACATGGAAGAGACACAATACGAAGCTGATAGATATTCTGGTGATCGATGAGCTATTTCGGGTTGCGACATTCTCTAAGATTGATTCGAACTCAGGGCACCATTAGATTTGTGTATGACTGATAAATGGCTATAAGATAGCATTTCAAATTCATGAGGTTCATTATGAATTTTTGATTAAATGCAAAGAATTGGTTGATGATGAAGAACCATGGGAACCATACAACTTAATCCAACAATTGTTTTCCTCACCTTGAGGACAAGGTGTCTTTTGAGAGGGGAGTATTGTTATGACGGTACATAGCCTAAGTAAATTTGGTCTTTTGTGTGCCTAAGGGCAATTTACTCTTTCGGTATAATTAGACTCTAATGGGTTTCGGGTTAAGTATGCATGAGATTGTTTGTTGTGAATCTTAGATTTAAGGTTTGAGAGAGACCTATTACATCTCCAATTGTAGGAATTGGAAGAAATCACCTTCCTCTCAAATTGTAGGTGTTTATCCTTATATTTATATTGTTTTGGATTATTAAAGAAAAATACTTGTTTTGCCCTAATTTTTATGGAAAATTGTGCCGATTTATACATCAAGTTGTATCAGTCATATTGAGAATTGATTTTGATTGTATTGGCTTTTTTTATATATTTAACACAACAATTAGAGAGCATACAGACTTGGCAGTTTTTACATAGAAAATCTAAGGTAGCACATTGTACCACCCAATTGAACACCTTCCGTTTGTATGAAAGAATTAGAGGCCTTTTTTGATCCTCATATAATAGGGGAAGGTGCCAATACATTGTGAAAGAATGTTTTGTTAGAGTTGTGAATGATTGTGCTACGGGTTTTACGGGGTATGATGGTGGTTTAGGGCAATTTGTGGGCAATTACTCTTTCAGTATAATTAGACCCTAATGGGTTCCGGGTTAAGTATGCATGAGTTTGTTTGTTATGAATCTTAGATTTAACGTTTGAGAGAGACCTATTACATCTCCAATTGTAGAAATTGGAAGAAATCACCTTCCTCTGAAATTGTAGGTGCTTATCCTTGTATTTATATTGTTTTGGATTATTAAATAAAAATATTTGTTTTGCCATAATTTTTATAGAAAATTATGCCGATTTATTCATCAAATTGTATCAGTCATATTGAGAATTGATTTCGATTGTATTGGCTTTTTTTTATATATTTAACACAACAATTAGAGAGCATGCGGACTTGGTAGTTTTTACATAGAAAATTTAAGGTAACACATTGTACACCCAATTGAACACCTTCCGATCGTATGAAAGAATTAGAAGTCTTTGTTGTTCCTCATATTATAAGGGAAGGTGCCAATACATTGTGAAAGAATGTGTTGTTAGAGTTGTGAATGATTGTGCTACGGGTTTTACGGGGTATGATGGTGGTTTAGGGCAATTTGTGGGCAATTACTCTTTCAGTATAATTAGACCCTAATGGGTTCCGGGTTAAGTATGCATGAGTTTGTTTGTTATGAATCTTAGATTTAACGTTTGAGAGAGACCTATTACATCTCCAATTGTAGAAATTGGAAGAAATCACCTTCCTCTGAAATTGTAGGTGCTTATCCTTGTATTTATATTGTTTTGGATTATTAAATAAAAATATTTGTTTTGCCATAATTTTTATAGAAAATTATGCCGATTTATTCATCAAATTGTATCAGTCATATTGAGAATTGATTTCGATTGTATTGGCTTTTTTTTATATATTTAACACAACAATTAGAGAGCATGCGGACTTGGTAGTTTTTACATAGAAAATTTAAGGTAACACATTGTACACCCAATTGAACACCTTCCGATCGTATGAAAGAATTAGAAGTCTTTGTTGTTCCTCATATTATAAGGGAAGGTGCCAATACATTGTGAAAGAATGTGTTGTCAGAGTTGTGAATGATTGTGCTACGGGTTTTACGGGGTATGATGGTGGTTTAGTTCTTAATGATGATGGTTATGATATGGATTCTATGACGACTGCATCAATAGGGGTGTCAATTTTTTGTTCACCAGGATCAAGTTTGAATTTTGCTATCAAATGATCCTACATAAATATG